TAAGGGTGGATCAAGTTTTGTTTTTTTTGAGATTATTGTATTTCCAGCTTAACTAAATAACCTCTCGCTTGGGTGGAGGTTGTAGGTGCACACAAGTATTTAGTAGGCAAAACAGGAAATCTATGTTTCCACCACAAGAATTGATTATCTTTCCATATCCAACTTGACTTTTTAGAACCACCTTTTACTTGCTCTTCAAATATGAGCAGCAGAAAATTCCTCCCCTCTCATTATTATTACTTTCTTCTATTATAGGACTGAAGGCTCTTCTTCAAATGAATGAAATTAATTAATTTGGACGTGTTATTTGAATTCAGTTACACGAGATATTGATTATTAGTTTATCAGTTATTGTGTGCATTTGTATGTAAGATTATGCAAATCTCTCTGTAGAAAATTTTTACAAAAACCAAAAATGTATTAATGACATTTTTTCGGTTGGGTAATTTCTTAGAAATCGTAATGCCATAAATATGGCAGGTCAAGAAGTTAATTAAACTTGTGAAAAATATGGTTAGAAATTAGGTACAGTACACCAGTGAGTAGGGAAACGATTTGTTTAGTTGGTGATGGATTATTGTTGGTTACATAAGCGACAGAACCAAACTGTACAAAAAGGATATTTTCCAGTGGAAAAATGGTATTATTTGTTGACTATGACTGGATTAGAATTTATAGTTGAATCACGGGAAGAGGTGGGGGATAGATGGAGGTGGATTCATCGTACCAGTTTCTTTGAACTCTTTCGAAAGTTGGTTTCCACCACAGATTGGTTGGTGGCTGTGATTGCATGGTTTAGAAGTTTGTGCTACCAGAATGGTCGCTTATGATTATATTATATAGTTAATAAAAAATGTAATTTTTTCAAATTGAATTTATATATATATATTTTATTTTTATTGATTTTTAATACAATAAAATTCGATGCGAAATGTTAATATTAAATATAAATTGCAATGTAACAATGTGTTTGCAATGTTGGGTAGGCTGCACATCTTGAAATAAGGTTGTGCAATGGTACCCGTTTTACATCGCGATGAAATTTTATAATTTAAAGATCCTGATGTATGTAGCAGCTGAAAATGTAATTGTATTTCCTGGTTACCATGATAACTATATACGTTTGTAGCCTCAGCATAATTATGGAAGTAGATATGTGTGAACCTAAATTAAAAAATTTTACTTTTTATCATGTAATTTATTTATGTGTGAATACCTTACGTGAGGTAAATTGGAACTCGTCCATTTATCAAAATAAGGTGTGTTTTTATCTGTATGATCGGAAACTTCCACAAAAATGGACAATGCTGAGATAAATAAATTTATACGCATATGTACAGAAAAAAGAAGAAACATCCTTCCCAAGTGAGAGAGGAACTTCAAGCGAGACATTATTTTTAAATGAAGGGAAATAGTAGAAAAATACACTTGAAAATAAACTTCACTTGAAGTGGGGGGACTATACTTGGGAATAGTTACCTTTTACAACTTCGAAATCGTCTTCCATCCTTTATTATAAAAAAAAACTTCAAGTTACACGAATATGACTTGAATTTAAAAAGATCACCATTAAAACTTTTTTTCTGCACAAGTATTTATCAAGAAGAATACACATTTGCCAAAGCAAACTCAATCAAGTCTCGAAGGAGTTATATACCCCGAATGCAAGCTCCGAGATGTAACAAATGTGATTATCGTTTATATCTGCTTTAGCGTAACAGAAAATAAAATTTTAGCGGACATGTATCACAACATCATGCTTAAATAGATCGTCATAAATAACAATATTCCCTTTTTAAAATACACGCCAATCATTTACTCTTTAATTCCACCCAATTATTCAAAAAACGAAAATGATTTATTTGTAAAACTAAAGTTAATATATTAATATATGTTGTATGTGAAAAATGAATTCGCAATTCACATATGTGAAATTCAAATTTGCATATGTGAAATTCACCCCACTCTATAATATTTCAATTTCACATACAACATATGTATATATATTTTTATTTTTATTTTTATTTTTTTTTTTATATATAAGAAAGATTCGTAGTTTTTTATGCAAACGATTTCCTTATTTGTATTTTCTTAGGTCAAGATTTGCAAGGCTTTTTGTAATAAATATGACTTTCCATTATAAAAACTCAACACAGACTTTTCATCTATTCTTAATTTAACGTTAATTAATTGCTTATATATAGTAAAAATTGGTCAGCTAAAACAAGTAATTTTTATATCATTTTAAAAAAAGTTAGCCGATAAGTTTTATTGTCCGTGACTCGAGCTTCAAACTTATCGGCTAGTTTTTTCTTAAATTAAAAATTGGCGTTTTAAAAGTTCTTTACGATTAAAAAGTACTTAATTATATCATCATTAATTAATATTGATTAAAAAAAAACATAATAATAAATAAACCTCTTAATTTGGTAAGTAATGTAAAAAAAATACGGTTAATCTGATCGCAGATCCAGATTTTTTTGGGCAGGGTTGGTTACATTAATTAATTAAAACACGTAAATAATGGAATTTGACATGAATCAAATATTTGTTCGGGTTAAAACAGGTTATAATAAACGCAGTATTAATTAGATACTTCATTAAAGTAGATATTTAGTCAATTAATTTCAATTCATTATAAATAAACCATTTTTTATGTTCATCATTTTTCGACTTCTTCGTCAGTAAGTTTAATTGATTTAGTGATGGATCCTTTGGTCGTAAGACGTTTCAGATTTAATTTATTTGACTTATCATCAATTATAACAGAAGTCTCATCTTCTTCTATTAATTGAGTACTCAAATCTTCACTATCTTCATCATCTTCAATTTCACCTTTCATATCTTTTTTTTCTTTATGATGACCTTTTTTTAATTCTTGAGCCTTAACTAATCCATAATACAGTCCACCTCTTTCAATCAATTCGTCATGCTTGCCAATTTCTTTAATTTCGCCTTTTGACATTACGACGATTTTATCAGCATTTTTGATTGTTGACAAACGATGAGCTATAACAATTGTAGTACGGTTTGTTGAGGCTTT